ATTGCGTGGACAGAAGCTGTTCATGACGCCGCAATCCGTTTTCATCGTAGCTTCTGCGGGGAAGGTACCCGTGAGAAGTTTATCTGCTCTTCGCCGGGGCCGAATGATAACTCCAGTGTGGCCAGCAGCTCTGGGGGAGGAGCTGGTAGCACTCGGATCTGGTCGGGTGTAATCACGCCGTTGAAACAGCAGATGCTGAAGTGGCCCTGCGCGCTCTCGCGGCCATGTTCGCCCTGCGCCTGCACGCGCTCCTCCGCAAAGATGCGTGCTCCGCACTGCTCGCGCACGCTTGCGAGGGTGTTGCCGCTGCGGGGGGCGAACAGAGAGTCGGCGTAGTCTGCGACCGATATGACAGCCGGGCGGTTCGCGCGAATGATGCGGCCGCGCACTGAGCGAGCACCTGCAAAAGTCACCGCGGCTAGGGCTCCGCACCCGCCGGTCCAGGCGCAGGTTGGGCGCGCCTGTGCGTCGCTGTACTGGGGAGCGCCGGCAAGAAGTGACTGTTTGAAAATGAGGCGCCGCCTTTTCTCGTCATCTCCTGGGCGCGGCAGAGGCGGCGGCGGGGAGAATGTCGCTGCCGTCGGAGGGTCGGCACTGCGTGTCTGCGGAGCTGCAGCAGAGAGGAATCGGCGATGCTGTGCGTAGTGATACGTTCCATTCGAATGCGGTCTCAGAAGAGCGTCTGCGCCACATGGACGTGGAGTTGGCGTACTCATAATGAACGAACAGCGGCGTCGGTAAGGATTGTGCCACCACCGAGCGGGCAGGGATTGCAATCGGGAGCGTCTCTCGGTCAGCCGCGGGAACGTTGGCCGCGTTGCTGGAGGAGCCTGCATGGATAGCGGCACGTTGTCTTTGAAGCCCATTCACGAGCCAAAGTTCTTCTGCGCTCAGCGTAGAGATGCCGGGGGCTCCAGGGGACGTGCCGTCGTGGTTCTGCAGCCAGTCTTGGAGGCTCTGGAAATGGGTCCCCCACTACGTGGCGTCGACGAACTGCGCCCACCCATGGCTGCAGGCAATTAATTGTCGGAGCAAGTCGAAACGGCGCGCGCAGCGAGGTCCGGGGTGGCCGCATTGAATAGCCGGCGTTGGTTGTGAGCCCGCGTGGCCACGGCCAGGTCGGCCGACGGCATGCGCCTGGGTTCTCTCGGGTACTGGCCCTCGTGCGTAGCCAGCCAGTCCTGCAGGGCGTGGTAGTCGGAGTTCCACGGGCCTGCCTTCGGTTCCCAGGTCCAGGGCGCCCACGCCGTGAGCGCTGCCGCGCGGGCAGCTGGCCATTGTCTGCCCCGGTGCTTCTTGCGCCGCGTCCGGCATTGGCAGCCTCCCCCCATGAGGCGCGGCGAGCGGTTGTGAATATCGAGCCATGCTTGCACGTGGCCGAACTGCGCAGTCTAGTCGGAGTCGGTGTCGGGGTCCCACGTCCACGAAGACCACGCGCTGAACGCTTGCTCATGAGCGAGGATCAGGCGGCCTCGTCTTCGGTACGAGCGTCGATGCACTGCCTATCGGCGCAGGCGGGTCTCCGTTGGTCCCGACGCTCCTTTGTTGGCGGGCGCGGGGACGCGGCCGTCGTTGGCGGTCCAGCGCTGGTGCTCGTGAAAGGTGAAAGGTCCGTTGCGAGTGTCCCACGAGGGCCTGGAGGGCGTCCCAGGGTCTGCTGACGGTCGAAGAGGGCACCCGGAGGGCTCGCAGAAACCCCGAAGAGAGCACCGAGAGAGCCACTGGGGTCCTCCGAAAAAGCCCAGGAGGTCCTCCGAGCTCCCCAAGACCGCGAGAGCCTCCCAAGACGTCCCCAGAGGGCTCGCAGGCGGCCTCAGAGGCTTTCCAGGATATTTATGCGAGGCCCGAGAAGGCCTTCCCAGGAGTTCCGGACCCGTCGTCGTCGTCGCCGTGGCGGTAGTAGTCTGCGCTGTCGGAACCGTCGTCGTCGTCTTCGTTTTTGATGACCTCGGGGTCCGGAGCTGGCCTGAAGAGGCCTTCGACGCCGAATGCCGGCCGTGATTCGAAGAAGGCCACTACTCACGCTGTCCGGGTCGGCTGTCAGAAGAACTGAAATTAGACCAGGCTTGATGAGGGAGACATATGAGACGTTTCAGATAGCTGCTTCGAGGCCACCCGAGCCGACCGCACGAACGACAAACATGTCTAAGCAAGGTTTGCATTCCCTCTGCCGACGGCGCAGGATCCTCTGCAAAAGCCGCCGCGCCAAAGACGGCGCCTAAAGGCTCGCTGGCCTAGGGTCTGCTTGCAGAGTCCTAGTGTAAAGACTCGCATCCCGGCGTCGTCGTCGTCGTCGCCGGCGTCGTCGTCACCGCCGTCGTCCTCGTCGCCGCCGTCGTCGTCGTCGACGACGCCGCCGGAGTTAGGCCCAGGACCCCGCTGCGGCTGGACGTGCGAGGCATATAAGACGTAGCAGAGAGCTGCTTCGGGCTTCGGGGCCACCTCAGCCAACCGCACGAAAAACAAACATTTCTAAGCAAGGTTTGTTTCCCCCCTGGCGACGGCGCAGGATCCTCTGCAAAAATCACCACACCAACGATGGTGCTTAAAGACTCGCTGCCCCGGGGTCTGCTTCCGGACTCCTACTTTAAAGGCTCGATCCCCGGCGTCGTCGTCGACGTTGTCGCCGGCTTCGTCGCCCCCCCCGTCGTCGTCGTCGACGACGCCGCCAGAGCCAAGGCCCAGGCCACCGATGCGGCGGCGGCGACGTGGACGCCAGCGGCGGCGGCGCGCGCGCGCCTGGACGGGCGGCGCGTTCTGGCCGCCTGGCTCCTGCAAGCGCTGTGCTTCACGTCGCCGAGGCTGATGGGCGAATCGGCAATCTCAGGTGAGAATAGCAGGCGTGGAGACAACGACGACGGCGACAAGGCGCCGACCACGATGACCCCGACCACACCGACCCCGGGCTTGCAAGAGGGGCTTGCCAGAGGGAAGAAGGCAATGTCTCCAGCGGGGAGCTTTTCGTAATCGGAGCTGCTTGGGGCGTCCACGGCTGTCTTGACGGCGTCCCGTGTGGCCCGCCTGAGGCTATTTTGGAAGTCCTTTTTGGTTTTTCTTGAAGCGCGCCGGAGCCGTCCTGGGGGGCTCCGGAGCCGTCTTGAGGCACTCTGGCCGCTTCGGGGCTCTCTGGAAGCCCTCGCAAGCTTTCTCGGGGACCTCTTCCGGTCCTCTCAGGGCTCTCTTAGGAGCCTCTTGGGGCTCTCCGGGGCCTCTCTGGGCCGTCTTGGCGCTCTCGGGGGCCGTCTTCGGGCTGTCTTGAGCCGGCCTGAGGCCGTCTTGGGGGTGTCTGGGTCCGTGTTGGGGCGGACTTGCAGGGATGCGGGGCCGTCCTGGGCGCTGTGCACACCCAAAACGCGAGTGAGCCGAAAATGCACATTTCCCCATCGGAATCGGACGATGTTTGCCTCGTGGGGCCTCTCTCGGGGGCCTCTTGGGGCGGCTTGCAAGGATCTTCGGCCGCCTTTCGCCGCCCTGAGACCGTCTCCCAAGCGAGCGAAGCCGATTTTCGGGAGCGTGGGACCGTCCGCTGAGCCATCGGGGCACTCCGAAGACTCCGAGGCGGCCCGGATGGTCCCGAGAGTCCCCCTGGAGGGGCCCAGAGGGGGGCCCAGAGGAGCCGGTTCGCTGCCACTCAGGGCCTCTCCCTACGCGCTGAGTCGGCCATTGTAGGAGAGATTCATGCCGGCCCATGGCCTGCCGGCCTCGAACTAGGGCTCCCAACTTCGCGCTTCGCGCTCCGCGAAGCGCGAAGCGCGAATAACTTCGCGCTCTCGCGCCGCCCCCCCAAAGGGACAAAAGGAGGACGAGGAGGAGGGGGAGGAGAAACGAGGACCGCGAAGCGCGAAGCGCGAATAACTTCGCGCCCTCGGGGGAGCCCTTGTCGAAGGTCGTCCGAGATGGCACCTTGGCTCGGGGGGGAGCTGTTGCGGGAGGGCTTTCATGATGACGCTGGGCCGGAGCCTCGGCTCTGCTGCAGCTGCTGCCTGCGACTGCAGGATGCTGCTGCCTGCTCCACGCTGCTGCTGTCGGCTGCTTCTGTGCTGCGGCTGGTGGTGCTCGCGGCGGGCTGCGTGCTGCTGCTTCTGCTGCTGCTGTTCGCTACGCCTGCTTCTTCGCCTGCAGGGTGCTGCTTCTCCGTGCTCCTGCCAGCTGGCTGACGCAACCTACCGCTCGCGAGGGGATCGAGGAGGGAGGAGCGAAGCGCAAGGAGCGAGGAGCCAGGTTCCAGCATGGCGGTGGGAGAAACGAGGGCTCCGCGAGGCGCAAGGAGGAAGGCGAGGAGCGAGGAGCAGAGAGAGTAAAGCGCGGAGGGAGGCTTGAGAAGCGGCTTCGGGGACACTTGCAGGCATTTTGGGGCAATCGTGGAACCGTTGGGGCGTCGTGGACCCTCGTTGGAGTGTAATAAGCTGAACTGGGCTGGGGGCGCTGGATCTTGCGAGCCGCTTGGGGCGTCCTTGGAGCATCCTGGCCCAGTGTCGGGGGCTCTGGAGCTAGTACACTGCGTGCGTCCATATCTGGCACGCGATCCGCTCAGAGTTGGTACAGATGACCTTGGGCTCCGACATCGCATCCCGCAACTCGCTGAGCAGCTGTCGAGATTGAGCTCCATTTCGCAATCAACATCTCGCTGAGCAGCGGCGTGATCCACTTTCACTGCACGCCTCTCTCTCTCACAAATGCTGATCTCATCGCTGTAGCCGACCAAGGCGGATCCATGCAATATTATCCGAAACAACTTCCCGCGCGATAGAAGCCGCTGTCAAATTCACAATACGGATGTCCGCCCACGTAATCACAGTGGTTGCCCAGCAAGTTCTCACACGCACAGCGCTACGCAAGATACGCGAAAACGCGAAAGACCAATCCCAAGATAGCCTGGAAATCCGGCCGAGTTGCGAGACGACCTCTCGTACGCTGTGGTGCATACGTTGTAGCAGATGCCGTTCGTCTCCACACTGCACTCCCGCATCTCGCTGAGCAGCGACAACGCATGCCGCCACTGGCCGCATCTCTCACACGCGCAGGTCGCAGAGATGTAGCTGA